AGGAGGGGCGGCGGCGGCGGCGGCGGAGCTGGCCGCGCAGGAGGCGGAGGACGAGGCCCTGCGCGCCCTCTTCCCGATGCAGCTCGGCAAGTCGGGCGGCGGCGGTGGCCCGTCACTCGAGGCGAAGCACGCGCAGAAAGAACACACGCGCAGTCAGAACACACGCGCAGTCAGAACACACGCGCAGTCAGAACGCACGCGCCGGCACACCACGCCGCCTCGCCTCCTCACTCACCCTCTCCTCCCTCCCTGCACACCCTCCTCTTGCCCCACCGCTCGACTATCCCTGCGGTGAGCGCTGTGGTCGCCGCAGACTGGCTCCGACTTGACGGGGGCATGGAGACGTGATGCCTCCATGCCCCCGTCGAGTCAAAATCGACATGCGAGGCGATCTTTGGCCCGCCAGAGGGATAGGCGGCGTTTTGGGCGACAAACAGCGCTGCGACCGCGAAGTGGCGGTGGACATGCTCCCATGTTGCCGACGCGGCGCCGGAGTGGCCGGCGCTGCTCGCCGCGACCACGACGGCTACTCTGATGCTCCGGGCCGACCCGTCCTACCCGACGGTGGCACTCTTCCACGTCTCGCTCACGCTGAGAAAAAATCTGAAACGGCGTGCAGCAGAGTCACCGACGAGTCGGTCCGCGTGACTCCTCGTGTCCCGTACCGTTCTCACACATCCATAAACTCACTTTGGCCTCACTGAAGCGATGCCTCAATCCTGAATCCTGAGATTTTAGATTAGGGACGCTGCGCACCCTCTACGTTTTATAAGCGAAATCGAAGGTGGAACGTGGAAGGAGCGCCCCCCCCCCGCCCCGTTCAAGCGCGCCCGAACACGGCCTTCCGCCAGGGCCGTGTTTCCCTGAGGCCCCCGACGGCGACGCCGTCGCCGACCCCGCATGGCGCATCGCCATCGGCTAGGAAGCTCGCGCCTCGCGGCGGCATTGGAGACTTCGCGCATCGCGGCGAGACGACGGAGTAGAGACAGTCACACCGGCCAGTAGAGACAGTCACACGGCGGTCATGATCTCTCCGAATTACGCGTTAGCGCAACTGCAAGAGCAGAGCAAAGCCAGTCATCGCAAGGGCAACCGTGACCAGTCCGCTGAACAGTCCGGCTGCGACGATTCGCCTCATTCGCAACCTAGCCGCGTCGGCCGCACCGCCATCGTCCACCTTCAGCTTCAAGCTGGCGAGACCGCAGAACTTGGCCACCTTGACGCTGGCGTCGATCAGAAGGAGGACGTTGAACAGACTGAGGAAGAGGAGGCTGACAGCAAAAGCCGCCGCTAATCGATGCCGCTGCCGCGACCAGCTGAGGTGGAGGAGCTCGCTGCCGAGCCAGACGAATCGCAGGCCGCGGGCCCAGACGCCACTCGCCAGGACCGCAAGCGCAGTCAGTCGCATCCTGATTAGGTCAGGACGCCGGCTCGTGTCGAGCGTGAACGAGTATTGTTGCGCCGCCTTCTCGACCGCCGCAGCAGCCTGCAGCAGCAGCACAAACTCGTGGTAGGCCGCAGAGTCTCGTACAAACAAGTTGGC